CAGCTGAAAAGGAGCTTACCTAAGTAAACGAATCTGCTATACATCATAACGGAATATAAAAGTGAAATATATATATACATATGATGTACCTAAATATGTAAAATGCACAATAACAGGGTATCTGCAGGTTTATGATAATTATATTTAAGATTTTGTAGAACCTTTTTAAACCAAACAGAATAAAATGTAAGACTTTTGTAAAGTTTAATAATGTACAGTACAATTACAATTACACACAACACAATTATTTAATTACCATCCCTAAAACACTTTATTATATAGAAAGAAACTTTAAAGTGACTAATAATAATTTACGTTTCACAACGGAAACTAAATCTTCTATACGGGTCAATTTGACTGCATTTTTGAGACCTTTGAAACAGATTTAGGACATTTTAAGATTAATTAAGGCCTTATTTTTATGGAATTTATGAATTTTAAGACTTTTTAAGGATCTGCGGACACCCTGAATTATACAAAACATTAAATGTAATATCAAACAATACATTTATTACAGTTAATATTGGAGCTATATCAACAATATGTACAGTTGAAGTGAGAATCATTAGCCCGCCTATTTATTTTTTTAAATTAAAAACTGCTTTTCTTCTAGCTAAAATAAAACAAAAAAGACTTTCTCCAGAAGAAAAAAATATTTTAGGAAATACTTTGAAAATATATTTTCTCTGTTAAATATAATTTGGGAAATATTTAAAAATGAAAAAAAAATAAAATCAAGGGTGGGCTGGGGGATAATAATTCTGTCTTCAACTGTATATATATATATATATATATATATATATATATATATATATATATATATATATATATATATATAGCATTAGACAGACTCTATTGATTATGAAGGAGTGACTTGTGGAAAGTCCAGCTGAATCCTCAAAACTTTAAAAAGCAAATGGCTACTCGAGAAAATTAATGTGATCCTGCCAAGAGTTCAGTCAGAAATCAAACCAATTCCACTATCATTTCTAGTGGTAAATAAAGTGAGCAATGCTGTTTAAAAGGCTGATCAAACAAGGAGCAACAGTGGCTGTTTAAAGCATTTACTTTATACATATATACAGTTGAAGCCAGACTTATTAGCCCCCCTTTTTTCTTTTTTAAATATTTCCCAAATGATGTTTAACAGAGCAAGGAATTTTTCACAGTATTTCCTATAATTATTTTTCTTCTGGAGAAAGTATTTTGTTTTATTTCAGCTAGAATGAAAGCAGTTTTAATTTTTTTAAAACATTTTAAGGTCAAAATTATTAGCCCCTTTAAGCTATATATTTTTTGATTGTCTACTACAGAACTAACCATCGTTAAATAACGAATTGCCTAATTACAGTAACTTGTCTAATTAACCTATTTAAGCCTTATAAATTGCACTTTAAGTTAAATAATAGTAACTTGAAAAATATCTAGTCAAATATTATTTACTGTCATCATGGCAAAGATAAAAGAAATCAGTGATTAGAAATGAGTTATTAAAACTATTATGTTTAGAAATGTGTTGAAAAAATTAAGAATTATTACCTGTAATATTTTCTTTTTTAAACTACTTCTTATATAAAAAAATATGGCATATATCTATCTATTGTTACGGCAAACGGTCTTTTGGGCTTTCTGTGATTGATTAACAGTGCTCCACACCCAGGGTCAAAGTCTAACCTGTAAAAATAATCATGATCATTTCTTTACTGAGCACTGGATTAAACAAGCTAAAAGTTAGCCTTAGTTAGACTCAGATTTACTTGCTAGCTTCTCCTCCTTGCTGAGTTGGGTCCATGGCCCCTTCTCCTTCTCTTTGAGTTTCTTCTGTTCGGCACTGAGGTTTCTGACGAATGGAACATCTGGCAGTGGAGTGTCCAGACGGTTGTTGTACTGAGGAACACTGCAGTCAGTCACATCAACATCTGGAGAAATTCACAAAAACAACAACAGTCAGAGAATGATGGAGCGATTTAAAGCAGCTACAATATGTAGATAGATAGACAGACAGACAGACGGACAGACAGACAGACAGACAGACAGACAGACAGACAGATAGACAGAGACAGACAGACAGATAGATAGACAGACAGACAGACAGACAGATAGATAGATAGATAGACAGACAGACAGACAGACAGAGGTGGAGAAGTTTCTAATCTTTTCAGATTGCGTTTTCACCATGAGTGTGTGCAGCCCAGATTCCAGATGAAGTTGACAGTCTCCTCCAGAATCCAGACTGTAGTCCCCGCACCAGTGCACGAGAAGACAGCATCTGAATACAATGGCAACACCAAATAGTCTGAACTCATAAGCTCTCAGGAGGGTCACATAGTAATGGAGACTAAGACTGCGTCTCAAAACCCTCGAGGAGCTGAATTTCTGCACTTTTAGCAAGTTAACATAGTTTCAATCAAGTCCCTTATAAAAACAAATGCTACAACTGTGGTACAGTTATTGTATCAGATTGTAATCATTATTCAAAATTGACTAAATGAAGGAAAGTAGGACACTGGGTGGGGGGGAAAGCAGTAATGTTTTTTAAAAAATTATCTAATGTTTACATGACAGTGAAGAGAGAGAGCATAGCATAAAGACAATATAGCATAGTAATGTAAATATACTGATTATAATTTATTTTTACTGTTTTAACTTTTAATATTGATTGTTAAATATATTTTTTTCAGATTTATTTTATTTATTTTTAATTTGTATTTTTTAATTTTATTATTATTATTTTTTATATATTATTACTACAATTTACTGTCTTTTTTACTGTGATTTTTATTATTATACATGTATGCTCTTTTTAATGTAAACTTTATAAATGCTTTGGCAATACATTCGTAACATTCATACATTTGCAAATACATTTTCTTTTCTCCAAAGCTGCATTTATTTGAGTACGAAAGAATAATATTGTTAATACAGATATTATTACAATGTAAAATACATGTTTTTTACTTTAATATATCATACAATTTAAGTAATTCCTCTGATGACAAAGCAGTTATATCTATTTATTATCACAGCAGAAAATGGTTGTTCTATAATATTATAGTGAAAACATTTGATAAATATCCTAATATCCATTAATAAATAGAAAAATATATATTTTATGATGTCACTTTTTATCAATACATGCTTGTCTAATATAGCCTACTGTAATTCCGCCAGCTGGGTGTCGAAAACAAAAAGTAAAATAACGACCGTTAAATTACAGAAATTTACTGTAAAATAACAGATGTTAAAAAACTGAAATTTCCTTAAATTTAAATTTCCGTAAAAAAATTTAAATTTTTGTAATTCAACGTCTGTAATTTAACGGCTGTTATACATCTGGGGTGTGGGAAAAAAACGTAAAATATACATAACGACCATTAAATTACATAAATTTACCATTAAATAACAGACGTTAATTTACAGATATTTACCGTAAAATAACATGTTAATTTACAGAATTTTTTCTTGAATTAAAATTTCCTGTAAAGTTCTGTAATTTAAAGTCTGTTATTTTAAGGTACATTTCTGTCGTTTAAGATCTGTCATTTAGCGTCTGTTAAACAGCTGGAGTGCACACAAAAAAAAACTTTAAATAATGGTCCTAAAATTACAGAAACTTACCGTAAAATAACAGATGTTAAATTACATACGTTTCCTTAAAAAGTAAAATAGTAGACAGAAATGTACCATAAAATAACAGACGCTAATTTCAGAAATTTCCTTAGATTTTGATTTCTGTAATTTAACGTCTGTTATTTTACGGTAAATCTTTGTAATTTAACAGCCATTATATTTCTATTTTTTCTGGTCCCCCAGCTGCTGGAAAAAAGGTAAAATAACAGATTTCTTTAGTGTATTAAAGTAAATAAATTTTCTGATTTGTCTAAAAAAAAAGTGTGATCCACGCAAAAAAAAAAAAAACTATATCACAATATTTTTGGCGTTACTATAGGTTACCATGGGGCACATTAAGGAATGCCAACATAAAAAGCACCATAAAAGACCACATACTGGATATGACTGATTGGACAACCTTCACTTGTGATGGTCCAGACATTCAGTCAAGGTATTCAGTTCACTGAGGACACAGACGATTGAATGGCTTTAAATAGTGTTCTTTATTTAATTTTATTTTTTGCGAGAGCGCGCATGCAAGGTTAATAAATGAGTACTTGCATTTGTCCAAAGACCACATTTCATTCGCCATGCACCTGCCTGCCCCATATGCTTATAAATGTGAACGATCAAGTACACGTCTAGAGGAGATTCGGGCTATGTGCTGCCTGTCACGTAGTGTGGAATAATATTCGGCAGCCAAAATTACTTCACGGGGGGGGGGGGGGGGGGGGGGCGTGACATCAATATCCAGCAAAGTGAAACAATACAAATCTAAATATAAATCCATCACGCGCGCATTCTTCATAAATACTGCAAACCTCAAATAGTATGGTAAAGATCTAGCTCGTGCAGGGATTATATAGGCTATCAAAGCAATCGATTTAACATTTTGTAAAAGAAAAAAAAGCGGATCTCGGAAAGTATTTAGGCTATTCATCCACCCAGAAAAAGGTTATTTCAAGTTCAAAATATTGCATTGTTGTCATTTTATGCAAATTATTCAAAACCGACATTACTTCTAAAGCAGTCTAAATAAGCTATAATTGCCTAATTTAAGTTATTGAAATAATGAAAGGGAGAAATAAGAAACAAAAGTATTTAATCTCATGAACACATCTGGAAATATTTGGGAAAAAAAACTAACAAAAAAATGCAAATAGCATTTATATTGGCATACTATATTTGGTATACATAAGTAAATGCAAATGAATTTACCTTGAGATATGAAGATCTGAGCTGGTCGACTAGAAGTTGCCTACGTGCTCTGTCTTTATGGTTCTATGGGTCTGTTAAAGCGTGTGGCTTGTGTGTGTCAGGTGTCTGATAGCTCTCGGCCGAATGAACCAATGAGCGCCGGGCAGGAAACAGTTCGCCAGAGGCGCACA